CTTATCAATCAAACTATACTTACTACAACCCGTCATTCCATTTATCAGACAATACATCATACTTACTACTCGCTGATTATCGTCATAGATCTGGGATGTGATCTTGTGACAAATGGATGCCTCACGGCATCTCATTCTGTAGACCTTTTATATAAATACTCACGGTTATAGCTCATTAAATTTTAAATTTCCAAAATTTTATTAGTGACTAAAAACAATAAAATAATAAATTGCGACAGCCTGACGTTAGATAATTAAATAAACGGCCATTTATTTTACACATTCCATAACTATTCGGATAATATCATGCAAAACGACGAAAACAATATCGACGATTACACTTTCGCTATGAGGTTACAGCAAAAACTTTATGAAGATTACAATGGCGTGACTCATGAAACAAGTTAATTATATTTTAATTATATATATTTTTATAATATGTGTTTCTTGCATTAAATATGTATTTCAAACTTAGGATCGCCTCAGAAAAATAATAATAAAGGTATCATAATCCAAAGATCTAGCATGCACGCTTTCTTTTTCATATGAATCTACTATGTAAAAAAATCAAATTCTTTTTATTTATTTATTTATTTTTTTGACAACTTTAGCTATTAGTAACACAAGAAATGTTGAAAGTGAAATCGATGATGATTACGCTACTATGCAGTTGCAACAAATGTATACCGAGGAAAAAAACGGAATTGAGAATGATTATATTATTGCTATGCGATTGCAAGAAATGTATAATAAAGAAAGAACCAACATTAACAAAGAATATGAAAGTGAGTTAAATAATTTACAAAATGAACTAAATTAATACTTACTAACTCGAGGAATTTTTAGCTTTGACATCTCGCATGAATAACATTTCATTTGAAAATTATGGAGAAACTCCTGAAAGAATTCAAAACAAATCTACCGATAAAAAATTTGGAGAAAGAGAGCCTTACAACAAAAATTTTTTCCAAAGCAATTCTAATGATTTTAATAATGATGACTCTCCTCCTCCTTACCACCCTTCTCAAAAGGCTGCACGTAATGATCACGGACATCCATATATTCCGTCATTTAATAACAATTATTTTCAAGAACATCCATCTGTGCATCAGAAATATCCGCAGCAATTTCCACAGCAACATTCGCAGCAATTTCCACATCAATTTCCGCCACAGCAATTTTCACCGTATCAACAACAAACTACTCCTAATTACGAAGAAATGTTTTCTCAATTCATGAAGTTCATGGATACATCTCAAAATCAAAATCAAAAAAATAATATTCCATCTGATTATGATACAAATAATAATCAAAATCAGAAAAATAGTAATCAATCTGATTATGATACATATAATACTAACTTTTCTCAAAAACCTAATCGAAGTAAAACAAATTGGTTTAATCGAGAGTCGGGTGTCTTCAAAATTCTATTGTTGGGTGGAACTGGGGCTGGAAAGTCTACCATTATCAATACGATGACAAACTATTTTTTAGGTGGTACTCTTGATAAGCCAAAAATTGTCATTCCTACAAAATTTTATAAAGTTACTGAAAATGGTATATATAATTTAAGTATTATTAAAATTATTTTCTATATTTTTATTCAAATTTATTAACTTTATTTTAATGTTTTGCATTAATTTATTTTAGAGTACCTCAATAAACATTCGGAATCAAAAGTTGATGATGTAACCAAGAGTCAAACTACAAAATGTCATACCTATACTTTCGCTCATCCCGATAATCCTGCCAGTAAATTTATCCTCATTGACACTCCTGGACTGAGCGACACAAGTGGCGTTAAGCAAGATGATAAGAATATTCAAGAGATTATAAATACAGCAATTTCTGTCGGTTCTTTATCAGCTATTGTGATAATTGCAAATGGAACTGAAGCTAGAATTACTCAATCAATCAAGAATACATTGATTTTGTTGTCACATAACCTTCCTGATGAACTATTAGGCAATCTTTTACTTATTTTAACAAAGTGCACAAAAAGCAGCGCTTCTTTCTCTGTAAATGATTTTTCAAAAGAAATTGCAAGGCCAAAGGTTAGAACTTTTTTGTGATCCTTCTAATTTCCAATTAATTGTTATAGCAATTCTTTTTTTTAAATACTATTAGGCTACCTTTCATATGGATAATCGATTTTTCTGTACTGATCCTGAAGTCTGGAATGATGATAATGATGAACGTGTCGATGTTGAGCATAATTGGAAAAGATCTATTAATTCGATTGATAGATTATTAGTAACAATTACTGAATTATCTTCTACTTCCACTAAAGCTTTTGAAAATATGAAAGATTACAGAAATAGAATCAAATCTGAAATTGCTAAAGTGACTCAAGATATTGCAAATATCCAACAAGTTCAGGATAGTCTTGAAGCTGCTCAGAAAGCATTACAAAAAACTGGCAATCAAAAGAATTCTTATTCTAACTATACAAAAACCGAAACAGTTACTCTTGATAAAATGGTTGATGCTGGCTATCATAGTACTATTTGTGACAACCATTATAAAAATAACATAATTTGTCATGAAAGATGTGGACTTGAGATGGAAACAAGACTTGGAACTAATAACCTCGTTCATTGCTCTTGTATGGGGTCAAATGATATATGTACGAAATGTAACTGTGGGCCCAAAAGGTAATTTTTAAACTCTATTACAATTTTTTTTTCTTAAACTTTTAATCTTTAATTTCGATACTTTATACAGCCACTATCACACCGATAAAAAGATGGTTAAGGAAACTAAAACACTAAATAAAGTTCTTGAAGATATGAAAGCGCAATATGATATGGCTAGCCAACAATATCAAAAATACAATACTGATGCAAACAATTATCAATCGGCGCTTTTAAAACTCCAAGCTGCTGCTAATGCTAAATACGAACTCATCCACAAGCTTTGTAAAGATTTGAGTAAAATTTGTTCTCGATTTAACTTCGTTGATGAACTTCATGCGAATATTGAGAATATGAGGCAAGATGCGAGAACAATCCAAAATACTAATATACGAAGGAATGCTGAAGCAGAAATCAAAAGACTTGAGAAATTGGCTACAGATTTGTCATCCAAACGTTGAAATGTGTAAGTTGATTATAATAGAATTAATATTTCATTATACATTTATAAAGCATTATGCTTAATTATATTTATACATACCTAGGTATTAAATGAAGTGAAATTTTCTGAGTGTCCGAAATATGGATTAGCCTTTATAGTGTTATCCGCTTTTTTTCTTTAACTTATCTTATTCGATTATAGTTGCCGTCCAAATAGTTATAATTATTGGTCCAAATTGGTTATACCTGAAATTGTGTCCCATATCCTGTAAGTTCCACGGTTTAACTAGTTCCATATAATGGTTAATACCCTAGAAAGTCCCAAAGTCCCAAACTAGTTAGGTTTGGACGGCAACTATATATTCGTTATGCGTATATGTTGGTGTGTATACTTTATTATCTGAATAATAAAATTTATAAAGATATAAAAATTACCAAAAAAATTGTTATAAATTACTGTTAAGTTGCAAAGTTATCATTCAGTGTTGGATAATTGTACAATTTGTTCGACTAGCCTTATAAACTAGAACATTGAACTTATAGGTCTCAATGTTACTTATTAAGTTCAGTTCCAATTCAAATTAAAGGTGCTCAACGTTGATTATAACGAAGGAATTGTATAATTGCAATAAAATGATGTTAATTTAAATTTCATTCGAATACTTTGGAGGATTATTGGATTTGATTAGTCCATGTAAACAGTGACATACTAGACATATACCTAACTTTAATTCGGGACATTCTATCGACACTGACTCATCTTTAATATCGACACTACAATAAATGGGATTGATATCCATTTTTATTTTTCATAGATAAAATTAATTATTGAAAAACAATAGCTAATAATATGGTCACGCGAATTATTAATCAGGTATACTTTGCTGTGCCGTTAGGGAAGATAAGCCATGTGAATGTTGTGTCGGTAGATCAGTTCCAGATGATTCTCTGACACTCTTATGCTGGTGTTCTATTGTTTTCTCTTCGTCATTTGAATTTTCTGCTCGACATCATGTCCGGCCTCCCACCACTCCAAAAAAGAACGATACTCAAAAAATTCTGTACACGTGACTTCTCGTGACTTGTTCGGCGACCCTATCCCATACTGTACCTCGTTGTTTAGGCACAGATGAATTGGCATGTCTCAAATCTGTGACAAGCACGAAATTTTAGTTATATGAGTATACCTAAATATCAAATATAAAGTAAATTAAAATCTGCGCTTAATGGTTTTTCGATTCGGTGATCGACATAACCTGTCAGATTTGAGACGTGCGATGTATTGCTGACCACGAATAAAAGGATGTGACTGAATGTATAAAAGGGTTAGTCATGACTGTTGTGTGTGAGGAAGGGGCACATGACGAGTAATAATAATTGTATAGTACGTATGTGGGTATAAATAAGAAATATGAAGTGAAGATGAAAACAGAAGTTTTTATCCAGCGGTACATTCTAAATAACAAAGAACTTATTACTTTGCCTTTACCATATTTGTTACTCAAAGTAAATAAGGAGAGACCAATTTGATTCGATGGCTTACATTACTCCCCTCTCTTAGTAAAAAAAGAATTTGATATATATATATTTGGATGCACCCGAAAAATTCCGAAAAGAAAAATGTATAAATATAAAATACGAGCAAGGTCGAGACAAAATTTCCAAAAATTTTTAAAATTTTACTATATACATTTACTTTTTCACCCCCTCCCCTTCCCCTCTTTTTAGTGAGGAATGTAATGTAAACCACCGAATTAAATTGGTCTTGACTAAACAAGCGAGTGATCGTTAGACCCATATCTGACTATATTTTGGTGCTAAGCTGTTAGTATCACTTAATCGCTTAACCCCGTGACAGTGTTACAGTGATAAAGTCGTGATGATAGAATAAAGCGCAAATTACCTCGCTAGCAGCTCCGACATTCAACGTATCAATTTGGTTTTGATTCGGTAGGGAAAAGAGAGCAATAGTATTTGATAGAAGAACAATGACATTTGTCACGGGATCAATTTGGATCGGGTTGAATGACATGATCCAGATTTGCATGAATTAATTAAAAGTCTAATTCGTAGCATAGTCTAATGTGTGTAACCTGATTGGTGTATTTAAATAAATTCTAATTAAGAAGAGGAGAGAAGTAAGCTTTGTATAAAAAAAACGACCTTATTGATAAACTAAGTGACTTGTGGACTAGAATAGTTGTCGTTGAAGCGAAAGTGAATAGGGCCTGTACGATACAATAGTAAATGTACAAGGCAAAGCGAGTCAATTTCTTAGTGATACTCGAATAAAACCCGTGAACTGTAATCCACTTTGATACTTGGAACACAAAAAAATACTACTTGCCTACGACCTTCTCTCCAGCTCGCCAAAATCTAACATGCATTGTTCGACTCAGCCCTTCGTAGGCTATGAACTTTTGAATTTAGAGCGACTGACTCGTTGTATAAAAGTTTTAATAATATATAATATGTAATATAATATGTAATAGATCACTTTCAGAACCAGGTGACCTTGTGAAGATTTAGATTCCTGATAATGCTAGGCTAAAAATATATAAGCGTACATTGCTATGTAATATCAAATTGATGCAAACAAATATCTGTAGGCTAATTCTTCCCACCATATAACAAAGAAAATAAACCATAACGATAATTTCTGCGATAAAAAAATAGACATACAGTATCATCATACGTATCATTATCCATTTTGTAAATTTGAATAATGATAGTTTCATTGTGTCCAAATTTGAATAATTTGTGTTACATCTATACGCCTGAATAAAAACGCGTAAAAACTTAAAAACAAACTCAATTTATCCGAATATGCTATGCAGTTATATGCAAAGATTCAGACATTGGGCATCAAAAATAACATGACATAGCTATAAACGATAACTACCAAATTTACAGATATAAGAGGGTAGCTACTATTGACTTGGAAAATGTCCAATCATTCAGTGATCTGAGTGGCTTGAAAACCGCGTATATAATAAACAGTAAACTTTTCATATTCGGTGCGCACACTACAGTAATTTATGTGAACAAATCGCTAGACTGGTCCATTTTGTAACCAGAATTACGATCTTTAGAAGTGCAAAACAATTATATGATTGATTTGTTAACATTTATTCATAATTATGATTATTTTAATTAACAAAGTCATTAGGCATTAAAAATCCAATCAAATTTGATAATCTATATAAAAGCGTGGTATATTTTTTTTGGCGACTATATATATTGTGATATTTCGTAGGCCTCTATCTCATAGCACATTGAATTTTTAATTCCAAAAAAAAATTATTATTGTCCATAAAAATAAATCGCAAAGGTCAACATTTGATAGTATATCAACTTGAAATATAAGGATCATTTTATTTTTTTATCCTCTATAACTACAAAGCTTAATCAAAACATAACATGCAAGACAACAGAGACGATTTCGACGATTACATTTATGCTATGAGGTTACAACATAAAATTTATGACGAACAAAACGGAGTTGAAAATGACTACACTATTGCTATGAAATTACAAGAAGCATATAATAAGGCAAGAACCAATGTAAGAAAAGAAAATGAAGGTGAGCTTAATTAAATCATTTATAAAACGAGTATATTGATACTTTTTGGATTCAATTTATACAATATAATTTTTAGATTTGGTATCTCGTACGAATAACATTTCATTTGAAGACCGCAAACAAAACGAAGCTGATAATGACTATGCTATTGCTATGAAATTGCAAGAAACATATAATAAGGAAAGAACATATAATAAGGAAAGAACCAATTTAAGAAAAGAATACGAAGGTGACCTTAATTAAATAATTTATAAAATGAATGTATTGATACTTTCTAGATTCAATTTATATAAAATAATTTTTAGATTTGGCATCTCGTATGAATAACATTTCATTTGAAGACTACGGAGAAGTCTCTGAGAGATTTCCAAACAAACCTGCTAATAAAAAAATTGATAATAGGGAGCCGTATAGCAGAAATTTTTCCCAATGCAATTCTAATGATATTGATAATGATTATTCTCCGCCTTCTTATTACTCTTCTCAAAAGCCTGCACATAATGATTACAGATATCACCACACTCCTGCATCTAACAACAACAATAATGATTATTTTCAAGAGCATCTATTCGAACAACAGCAATTTTCACGTCAATTTCCGCAACAATTTCCACATCAGTTTTCACAGCAGTTTCCACAGCAGCAATTTTCACAGCAGTTTCCTCAGAAATTTCCACAACAATTTCCTCAGCAATTTCCACAGTACCAACAACAGACTGCTCCTGATTATCAAGAAATGTTTTCTCAATTCATGAAACAACAGCAGATAGCCTCTAATAATCAGGAAATATTTTCTCAATTCATGAAACAACAACAGATGTCTTCTAATAATCAGGAAATGTTTTCTCAATTCATGAAATTTATGGAGGCATCAAAAATCCAAACCAGAAAAATAATATTCAATCCGACTATGATACACATAATACTAACTTTTCTCAAGAACCTAATCGAAGTAAAATAAATTTGTTTAATCGAGAGCCAGGTGTCTTTAAGATTCTATTGTTAGGCGGAGCTGGAACCGGAAAGTCTACTATTATCAATACGATGACAAATTACTTTTTAGGTGGTACTCTTGATAAGCCAAAAATTGTGATTCCAACAAAGTTTTATAAAGTTACTGAAAACGGTTTATATAATTGAAGTATTGATTTTCTATATTTTTTTATTCAAAATTCATTAACTTTTTATAATTTTATATTATTTATTTCAGAGTATCTCAATAAAGATCCGGAATCAAAAGTTGACGCTGTAACCAAGAGTCAAACTACAAAATGCCATACCTATACTTTTGACCATCCTGAGAATACTGCTTATAAATTTATCCTCATTGATACTCCTGGATTAAGCGACACAAATGGTGTTAAGCAAGATGACAAGAATATTCAAGAGATTATAGATGCTGCAATTTCTGCCGGTTCTTTATCAGCTATTGTAATCATTGCAAATGGAACTGAAGCTAGAATTACTCCGTCAATCAAGAATACATTGGTTAGATTGTCAAATAACCTTCCTGATGATCTGTTGGGTAATCTTTTGCTTATTTTAACAAAGTGCACAAAACGCAGCGCTTCTTTCTCTGTAAATGATTTTTCAAAAGAAATTGCAAGGCCAAAGGTTAGAACTTTTTTGTGATCCTTCTAATTTCCAATTAATTGTTATAGCAATTCTTTTTTTTAAATACTATTAGGCTACCTTTCATATGGATAATCGATTTTTCTGTACTGATCCTGAAGTCTGGAATGATGATAATGATGAACGTGTCGATGTTGAACATCATTGGAAAATGTCTCTTAATACAATTGATAGATTATTGGAAACAATTACTGAATTATCTTTTACTTCGACTAAAGCCTTTTAAAATATGAGAGATTACAGAAACAAAATTAAATCTGAAATCGCTAAAGTGACTCAAGATATTACAAATATCCAACGAGTTCAAGATTGCCTTGAGGCTGCTCAGAAAGCATTACAAAAAACTGACAATCAAAAGAATTCTTATTCTAATTATACAAAAACCGAAACAATCACTCTCGACAAAATTGTTCCCTCTAACTATCATAGTACTATTTGTACCCTTCATGGCAAAGAAAAAATTTGTCATGACGGTTTGTGGACTTAATATGGAAACAAGTTCTGGAACTGATTACTTTATTTCTTGCTATTGTATGGGACCAAACAATTTATGTAGAATATGTAATTGTGGTCCTAGGAGGTAATTTTAAACTCTACTGTTCACGGATTTTTTTTTTTGACTTCTTTAATACTTAATCTCAATAATAATTTATATAGCCACTATCACGCCAAGGTCAAATTAGTTAAGGAAACTAAAACATTGAATAAAGTTCTTGAAGACATGAAAGCGCAATATGATATGGCCAACCAACAATATCAAAAATACAGTACAGATACAAACAATTATCAATCATCACTATCAAACCTCCAAGCTGCTGCTAACGCTAAATATGAAGTTATCCATAAACTTTGTAAAGATTTAAGTAAAATTTGTTCTCGGTTTAATTTTGTTGATGAACTTCATGCAAATATTGAAAGCATGAGACAAGATGCAAGATTAATACAGAATGTTAATATACGAAGGAATGCTGAAGCAGAGATTCAAAGACTTGAGAAATTAGCTACAGATTTGTCATCCAAACGTAAGTTGATTATCGAAATTAACATTTCGTTATATATTTAGGTAACATTATGTTTAATTACATTTTATGTATGTATTTAACAGAGCTGGAGCTAGTGGTGGTGGTTCTCAATGGAATCCATTGAACACTATTCGGTCTTTTTTATTTAGTGGATAACCAAAATTATCAATCTTTGGTATTAAGGATTTAAATGAAGCAAAATTTTCCGAAAGTATTAAATGTCCGATATATAGATTGGTCTTTATACTATTTACCCTTTTTGTTTCTTTAACATTTATCTGATATTACTCGAAAAGTTGTGTGAGAATATACATTTTGTCTTCAAATCATACATATAGTATATGTAGAGATAAATAATGTACATAAATAAGGCCATATAAAATTGATTTTTTGGTATTCATAGTATAAAATAAGGTAGCTGCGCGACACAGTCACGCTAGAAATTATCTTTCCCAGTATCCAAGCCAAAAAAACGGACACGTGATTAAAATGTACCGTATTTATCCGACATGTAGACCCCGTACAGGGACCCGTAAAAATTTTGTTAAAAAATAACAAATCTTTATATTGATTTTTGTAAAAATTGTGATTTATTTTGATTATAATTTTGGTTAGTACTAATTATAATTCTAATTAGCGTTAACTATGATTTTAGTACAAATTTTTATTATTGCTAATTAAAATATAAAATATTTAACATTTTTAAAGAATCTGTACTAAGATTATGTCTATTATCATCTAAGATCTCATTATATTTTGAAAAACTTCTTCAACTTCACAAGATGAAACCGGCAGCCAAATATATTCTATTGCAATTTGACTAAGTATTGGAAGTTGATATAAAATTTTTCTCCAAAACTCATCTAAATTATTGAATTCTATAGTATCTAAATCAAAATTACAATAAACAGACCATTCA